TGGTGATGGTGATGATGGTGATGTTGGTGGTGATGCTGGTGATGGTGATGATGATGGTGGGGGTGGTGGTGATGATGCTGATGAATGATGATAATGAGAGCCTCCACTTCAGAATGGCTGTGAAGAGTGGGCTGAAAAACTGTGACCCTGAGCATCTTAGTATCTGTCTTGCTCACACCATCTATAAAATGTGGCTAATATTCATCCCTGCCTCATAGAGTTGTCACAAGGATTAAATTAAAACACTTGTAAAGTGCTTGACATATAATAAGTGCTTAATAAACACTAGCTATCATTTTTAATAGTCTTATTATTTTCGTTGCTCTGTTCCCCTCATTTTCAGAATCATTTCTGTTTCTCTTGGTGTAGGTATCATTAGTCTCATTATCAGTGCTTATTCAGAATTAGGATGACTTATCACCCTGGCCCCTGGGACTTGTTTTCTCCCCTATCTGTCCTGCCTCCTACATCTTAAGTCGTCCAGTGGGTCTGCCGGGAGATGAGCCTTCTGTGTCCCTAGATCTTTGAAATGAGGAAGTGGGAAGGGAGGACCAAAGCCATGTCATGGCCATCTGGAAGTGATGTCCACAAAGGTGGGTGCATGCCCACCATCAGCACCGACGTCAGTGATGATGGGGCTGCCTTCCCACGTGTTGCTGGCGGTTCTGCTGAGCAGCAGGCTGGGCACCCACAGTGTGCTGGCTCCACATAGAGCCCTGTGGGTGAACCGTGGAAGTGCTGTACAGACTTGGGACTTTTAGAACAGGGCCATCAGCCTGTCCCTCCTGATGTCCTATCTTTCTCACTTCCTCTACCTTGCCTTTCAGAGGTGTGGACGGCAAGTCACACAAACCACTGCCCCTCAGCGTGGAGAATGACCGAGTCTTCAGTGACCTGTGGGGGAAGGGCAATGTGCCCGTCATCCTCAACAACCCGTATTCAGAGAAGGAGCAGGTAAGTGGGTGGTACCAGCTTGGCTCCCACACTCCATGGCTCCCTGAACCTTCCCTGGTGTGAGGATGAGGGGAGGGATGCCAAATGTCAAACCATGTTGGGATGGAAATGAGCCACCACGGCTGGAGAGCTCAGGGGCATTGAGGCCAGGAGCATGTGTCCTGGGATCCGGATTTTGCCTTTGTTTTGCTTTGTTCGTGATCTTGCCATTTTTCAAATTTCAATTCTGTTTCCACCAGCAAAGGCACTCCCATGCCATTCACATCGCAAATTTAGCAGGTAAAGATACATGGTAAAAAGGTTTCCTCTCTCGCCTAATCCCAGCCACACAGTTTCCCTCCCCAGAGGCAAGCAATATTTATCGTTTCTCTGGTTCTTTCAGCAATACTTTACACGTAGACTGACAAATACACACACACATTATTTTCACACAAATGAGAGCACTTTATACATATTGCTCTGCACCTTGCTTTTCACTTGTCAGCATATCTTGGTGATTACCCCCCAATTCGTAGGGGAAGAGAGTCCTGGGTTCTTTTTCACAGCTGTATAATATTCCATTTTATGGCTCTGCCAAACCTACTGAGCCGGTCCTCCATAATGGACCCTTAGGTCATTGCCAATATCTTGTTATGACATTGCTGTAATGGATGACATTGCCTAAACGTCTCGCGTGGCACATGGGCAGGCTTTTCAATAGCATAAATTCCTAGAAGTGAAATTGCTGACTCAGTGATCATAGGCATTTGTGATTGGGGCAGAAATTGAGAAATGGCTCATCATAAAGATTGCCCCGATCCTACCAGCTAAGCAGGAGAGTGGTGGTCTCCCCACAGCCTCACCAACCTAATGTATTATCAAACTTCTCAGTCTTTGCCAGTTTGCTGAGACGTGTTTTGATAGCTGAGTCAATATTGTTTCTGAGCATGGAGAGATTTGGCTAGAGATCAGGAGTGCCTCGTTCTCACCTGCTTGGGCAGCCCACAGTCCAGGCCAGTGCGACCCTATTAAAGCATATGAATTTCCCACCCATCCTCTGCACTGCAGTGAAGTATGGGAAGAATGATGAGTGGGAGGTCAGAACAGGGAGATGGCCCAGGTCACTCGGCAAGGTCACCTTTTTCTCTCCACCTACCTCTAGCTCTGGATGGCATGGGACAGGTTGCCAGGTTCTGTCTTCTCATGCATCTGTATGGATGGCACCTTTTGCTACCAGCTCACCTGACCAAAGCCTCACTATGTAGCCTTCCATGGGGAGGATGGGACATTTCAGAGCCTCAGTGGGGATTGCTTTCCTTAGCTGCTGATAGCTGGCCAGGAAGATAAGGAAGGGCGTCAGGGATTCTGTGGTAGGTCAGACCCATGCTCCCCCCAGCTAGGTACTCACCCTCTTGCAATGGCATCTAGGGATGCTTGGAGGAGAAGCATCTATATAGATGTCTACTATGCTGTCCTCAGAACTCAGGGCAACACTATGAGCATGAGGGGGCTATTTTCCATTCATGATTAAATGAACAAATAAAGTTAACATTTGTCTTTGTATTTTCTTTCTTAACTGAAAGGAAAGAGATATTGCCATAATTCAAATCCTCCCAAGACAAAAGAAGAACAGAAAGAGACAGCCTCAGGCTAGATCCAGGCTCTGGATGTGCTTTGTTAGGTCTGCACTATATTGCCCTAAGGGACAATTTGTATTTGTACTTTGAATTTACTGCCAATGTTTTGAAATTTTATATAAATATCATATTCACAGCTTCTCTTAAAAAATGTGGACACGCTAACCACCTCGAGCTTGTGTTCTTATGGGACAATAATCTGCACAGACTGAGTAGCAGCTGCTCCTGTAGACAGAGCATGGGCTTTCCAGTTTGCCACAATCCCCACCACTCCCTATCGTGTCCCTCCCCTTAAGACCATTGTCTTTTGTTACTTTTTATAACATTAGTGCTATTGATTTTCTTAGGATGAAGGGAAATATTTTTCTATCCATGACTTTATTATAAGTGGCAGGTAGAGATAGACCAGGAGGTTTGTATGTTTCAGGAAACATGAGAAAGATTTCATGTTTTATAAAAAATGAAGAATATTCTTTTTTTTAAAATTTTTTTAAGAATATTCTTTTTTTTTTTAAGATTTTTTATTTATTTGTTTGACAGAGAGAGACATAGCAAGAGAGGGAACACAAGCAGGGGGAGTGGGGGAGGGAGAAGCAGGCTTCCCACCAAGCAGGGAGCCCCATGCGGGGCTCGATCCCAGGACCCTGGGATCGTGACCTGAGCCAAAGGCAGGCGCTTAATGACTGAGCCACCCAGGTGCCCCAAGAATATTCTTTTTTTTAATTTAATTTTATTTTATTATGTTATGTTAGTCACCAAACAGTACATCATTAGTTTCTGATGTAGTGATCCATGATTCATTGTTTTCTTTTCTTTTTTTTATTTGACAGACAGAGACATAGCGAGAGAGGGAACACAAACAGGGGGAGTGGGAGAGGGAGAAGCAGGCTTCCCGCCGAGCAGGGAGCCTGATGCAGGTCTCAACCCCAGGACGCTGGGATCATGACCTGAGCCAAAGGCAGACGCTTAATGACTGAGCCACCCAGGGGCCCCGATTCATTGTTTTCGTATAACACCCAGTGTTCCATGCAGTACGTGCCCTCCTTAATACCCATCACCGGGCTAACCCATCCCCCCACCCCCCTCCCTTCCAAAACCCT